TGGATGGATGGATGGATGGATGGATGGATGGATGGATGGATGGATGGTGGGATGGATGGTGGGATGGATGGTGGGATGGATGGTGGGATGGTTGGATGGATGAACAGATAGAGAGATAGACAGACAGACAGGTAGATAGACAGACAGACAAAAATGAATTATAAATGCTTTAAGTGTGTTGCTGTTGGGTTTTGTTTGTTTGCTCTTCCCAGTAACCTAAAAAGGAGGACATAAAACCTGCTGTTATTTGACTCTTAGTACAGGCCACACTTGGCTGCAGTGATGGTAGAATACCCAATTTGAATTCATTTCTACTATCGTGACCTTGGTACCAATGGAACATTATGTTAATGTAGCTTTTTGAAATTAAGAGGCTTTTTATATTAACCATTTTCTCTGCAGCTGGATTGTTATTGCATTTTAACCGTGTTTGGGCAATATGAAGGGATTCACATTTTCAATGATGTTCACTTTCTGATTGCTGTAGGAGTAAGCTTGCCATTTATTAACGTATCTGTCTACATCTAAATCCTTGCTAATGCACTGAGGAATGTTCCAGTACAACCTTTTATTACAAAGGCTTTCAAGCTTGATCCATCAAACTAATTCTCACTAATAAGTTGCGCCACTGGAACATCAATTAGATTTACATTGAGCATTATGGTCTGAATTACAGTGAAAAGTCAAAGTCTACCTAATGAGTGGTGAGATAACATGCACATATATAAAATAAGATGTGCTTATATGTGTATATATGCATAAAAACCATGCAGTGAAGGAGCATACAGCCACCATGGGGCTTCAGATTTATGTGTGCTGGTCTTGCCTTTCTCTCTGACACTGTGCATTGAATCCCCCACCACCAGAATGTGACTGTTCACATGACCATAACAATGGGTATGGCTACTCAAAGGTATGAAGGGTGTGATGGGCTTTATTTGAAATATTTCTGTGCTTAACATTTAACAAAGAATCATAGAATCATAGAATGGCCTGGGTTGTGAAGGACCACGATGCTCATCCAGTTCCAACGCCCTGCTGTGTGCAGGTCACCAACCAGCAGACCAGGCTGCCCAGAGCCACATCCAGCCTGGCCTTGAATGCCTGCAGGGATGGGGCATCCACAGCCTCCTTGAGCTTGCTGATCTGGGGCTGTATGAAGACTGTGGGTTGAATTTCTCAACTTTACTCTGAAATTCTACTTTTTTTTTTTCTATCTCCAGAAGTCCTGAGCAAATTTGCTCCGGTGTCAGCAATGTAATGGGTGTAGTAACCATTGTACAAGCAGTGTAAAAACACAGGGCACCTTGCTGGGTGAGCTTTCAAACAAGTTCTCACAACACTTTTCTCTTGAGATGCAGACAGTGAGAAAGTGGTTCATTAGGCCTGAGCGATGCAAAAGGGGAAGTCCATTGGGGCGATTGTAAAGCAGGCTGGATGAATTATATTACTCTCCCAGAACTGAAGAATAAGTAAAACACCCTTTTCAGCTGCATTTTGGCTACTGGCTTGTTTTTCAATCTTTTAACACGACTTTCTTCAAGGCCTGTACTCCTTGCATACAGTTAAATAACAGCACAGTACAGACTACAGAGAGACAGAGCCAATGGAAGCCATTAAACAATACCTTAGAAAACCATTTTTAAATCAATAACTGCCCGCATTAGTCAATAAACTCCTGAGGAAGCTAATGCTATTCTTGACAAAGGATGACTGTCCAGTGCATTGACAGATAGTGTTATTTATTATTTGACCAGGTTGAATACGAAATTCATTCGTTGAGAAGTAAGGCAAATTTTCCATTAGTACTTGAGCTGTCATTATTAATTAGGTGTTATTTGCAGTACTACTTAGAGGCACTAAAGAAGATGCACCAGAACGAGGAACTGCTAGTCCCAAAAACCAAACAGAGAAACCAAACAGAAAATACTGCTTATTTCTACTTTCTATATGAGAAGATAAAATAGAAAAAACTAAACTAAAATAAAATAAAATGAATTCAAAGGACTCAGTAAGAGCTACACATAGTAGCAAAGACCTGGTACTTTCATGACAATTTCTTGCGTAGGTATCAGACCTTTTTCCATGTTTTGTATTTGCTAGGCCTTAGAAAGAGCAGATACCTTCTCCCTATCCTCCAACGAAGATGAGAAATGTAACACAAGGAATTGTTGCTTCTCTTTTGCAGGGAACAGGGCTGGCAAAGTGAAAGCCAAGAAGCAGGCTGTGTACGATGAGCCTCTGCTCTGTGCAGCCTTTTAGATCAGCTCCTACATGCCAACTTTGTGCTGGCTGCTTTCGGTGTCAGCTGGCATGGCAACTGCTTTATCTCCCATAGATTTGTTTATTTGAGCACAACAACTCGCATTTAACCCCTTTGTTCCAGCTTTTGCCCATTACTAGCTCAAGAAGGGGAATGAAAGGCTTAACAAATCATTCGGTCCTAAAATATTTTGCCCACACTCTAGCCTTATTTCTGTTCTCACCTCAGCATCATTTGTTGGTGGGGTGGGTGATGGAAAACATTTTCCCAAATCACTTGTCATCATCACATCCAGCTCTGTGAATGACGAGCTAGCTAGGCAGGGATCTAATTTTTCCCTGTTTTCTACAGCACCGATTAGGAATCTAACATTTAATTTAGAAACATGAAATTAATCCACCAG